TGTGCTCCTACCAGTGGTGGGGGGTCAGACTAGATGATCTGTTTGGGTCCCTTCTGACCCCAAACTACTATGAAACTATGAAAGAGTTCTTTGCTCCCCTTCCTCCCTCCCTCCCCCTCAGCACTCTACTAAGCACAAATTCCCCTGTCCCTTCTGCCTTTGCTGAGGTGTCTGTGTATTAGCCAACAGATTACATGCTGGGTCTGTGCTGAATCAACAGATATATGGTAATGTCTCTCTGATGTTTTCTTAATCATAGAATCATAGAAGTCGGGTCGGGAGGGACCTTGTAGATCTTCAAGTCTGACCCCCCTCCTGAGCAGGAGAAAAACTGGGCTCAAATGAGTCCAGCCAGGTAGGCATCAAGCCTCTTCTTAAAGACCCCCAGGGTAGGAGCCAGCACCACTTCCCTTGGAAGTTGGTTCCAGATCCTAGCCGCCCTAACTGTGAAGTAGTTCTTATGGATGTCTAATCTAAACCTACTCTCCAACAACTTGTGGTCATTTTTCCTTGTTAATGGGGCAATAAACACTGAGATAAGAGGGATAAACTCTTTTATCAGCTCTCCCCCAGCTTGTTTGCCTCAGTTTGCTGCAGACAGTATACAGAAGCAGGGAGGGAGAGTGGAAAGATCCATATCGTCAACAGATGCATGCACTGCACAGCCCACGTTGCCTCAGAGTGCTAACCCAGGGCTGCAGGCTGGCAACATCCCCGCCCCTTGAGCAGTGAGCAGGGAAAAGCCTGGGACTGCAGGCAGGGTGCAGTCCCAGGCTTTTCCCTCACCCCCTCCCTAATCAGAGCCCTGCTGAGGCTTGACCATGACCCCTCAGTTTAGCTCTGGGGAAGGGCAGGGAGGGCGGCTCTAGCACCCCCTGGCTTCCAGCCTGAGTTACTGCAAGCATGAATGATGCATGCCCCTGGTGGCTGGGGGGGCACGGCTGCGGCGGGAGCGTGGCTGTGGCAGTGGGAGCATGGTGATGGTAAGTGGGGGAGTTCCTGCAAACACCGCTGGTGCTGTCAGCGGCAGGGGGGGCGGTGGCAAGCACTGACCAGGGGTTGGTGACCACCTGCAGACACTGATGGCAGTGTTGGCAGCAGCCAGCGGGGATTGTGGACTGCCTGCAGATGCTGCCAGCAGTGTCAGTGTTGGTGTGACAAGTGGTGACTGCCCACAGGTGCTGCCAACAGTGTCAGTGGTACCTTTTTTGGGGGATGTACTGCCATTCTCAGGGCATGCATGTGCACCTGTGTGAACCTCCTACGCATTACCCCTGACTGTAGGCACATGCCTGAATTTTCCCAGTCAAGAGAGGATGTCTGTATGGTTAGAAACTGGTTCAGCCTATC